CGTATGAATATGCCTTTCCTTCTACTTATTTTTGTGACGATATCTGCGTTGCGCGTGTCTGCATTCGGGTACGTGGCCCCCATCAGGTTTTTTCAGTCGGGTGGCACATGACATTCAACTAGGCAGCACTGCGAGCGAAAGTTTTGGCTCAATCGTGTGGTATTTTCATTCTCGTGTTTATCGCCAGTGGGACCGGAGCTGCCCGGGGTCGTTTGCTGCACGGTAGGTGTTCTTCATGTTCAATGATCCAGAACTCAACGCGCTAGCAATGCCAGCAGGTGCATTGCATTCGGTTCTCGCCTGCCTAAGCTTCCAGCAACGACTTTGGACAAAAGACGATGTCTCAGAGATGTCCGTATGCCATGCCCAGAGTGCATCAGCACGTCGGCCGTTGCACGCCGTAGTGTCAACGTTGACTGGGCTGGAAAATTTTGTGAAGCTGAACGAGGCCAGCACTTGACCTCGTGCCGCAGCGCACAGCCCTGGACAGATTTCACTTTTGCTCACAGCCCAGGTGTTCCATGCTGTTGAACGAGATCAAGCGACGAGAACGGGCCAGGATCATGAAGGCAAAAAAGCCCATGCGGCATGGCATAAGCGCTTACGAGTCACCTTCTGGTGAACAGACGCCAGCACATGAGTTCCGAGCCCAATCGGCGATGCCTAGTCCTTTCCCCATGGAAGCGCCAGACACAGATTTCGCTTCTGCAGGCTCGGCGCCGTGAAGCTGCGAAGCGACTGCAGGTACTCTGGGACTTGCAGCCTTGCACCTAGGATTCCATCATAGGTTCCAAAACGACAGTGCGTTTGCGGGTTATGCACTGCATGCTGCACTGCTATTGTGCGACAAACGACCCACCACAAGGCACCCTGGGACCGGAAAAAGGGATACCCGGCCTCCAGTTTTGCCATGGGCTGAATAGCACACTACCCTATACTACTCGTATACACCCAACACATAAAGCATTCCCACGTTTAAGACATGCATAAGATCGAAGCAGACATCATTATCCTTCATGCGCCTGCAAGCCCAAAAGCCACGAATCGGAAACTGCAGTGCTGCTGGCGGGGTCTCCTGGGACGCCGAGCTGCTCGCGCCCAGCAAATGCTCCTGGCGGCAAGGAGCCGCCCGTACGTAGAGGGATCAGTGAAGGGTCGGATTGTAAGCTGTGCTTGAGTACATGTTTTGTCCATATGGTCCACATGATTCCGTGACATGACCGACCTCTGTGAGCTTTGGCTTTGCAACATTTCGTTACAAAAGGATTATGTGTTTATCACCTCACAGCAAATTGGCTTCGAAACCCCAACTCCTTTGAATGCGTCGTTGGCTTTGCTTGCTGAGCCAACTGTGAAACTCGCCTTGGAGCCTGGAGGGCAAAGCGCAAGCTTCGAGACATGTTCGTGAATACTTACATACAACATCAATAGAAGCATGTGCTACTGCTCAGGGTGCTTCTGCTTTCAGGTGCACGCCCGAAGACTTCGTGTCAAAGGTGTAGGTCCCAGGTTGATGCACTTCTAGCATTTACGATAGAGGATAGGACCATGCCAGTATCAGAGGCTTTTGCGTATAGTCAACCTGGAGATCGTTTTCACAAGCATATCCAGCCGTTGTGCTTGTCTTTGTGCTTCGCTAGCCCACTTGGTCACGCAAGGGACTAGTCCTGTCCCTAAAAGCCTCTAGACTCCAAAGTCAAGCCGCGAGGAGACTGCAACGGTGCTGGCGAGGCCGCGCCCACAGACTGTTCTTGCTGCGGTGAGGGAGGTGGCGGATGCTCAGTTTGGAATTCAGAGGGGGTAGAGAGCTTCAGTCTCCCATCCGTAAGACTCTCAGTAGCTAGCATGGGCACTTGAATCAAAGGTCCCTTAGGAAGCCCAGCCTGTTGAAAATCCGGGTGGTCCGGAGACTGGCATGGGTTGCTGCTGAACCTGGACACTGAGCTCACGATTACACGTTTCAAGCTTGACGCAAGCTGTTTTTTTGGAGATGGAACAGAGTACAAACGAACTGCAGAGCAAGTGCACCTTCATGAGTCGACGTCGACGTCCTCCTCGTCATCCTCCTCTCCACTATTCTCCACTCCTCGTCGTGGTCGTGTGGCAGGAGAATATATCATCATCATTGCACCCATCATCGCGACGTCCAGCCCCTTCCGGTCCACATGCGAGTGAAGCCGGCAAAGTCTTCAGCGACGTTTTCACCCATCCTTTTCGAGCACGGCATCTCATAGCCTCCTTGTGGAAACTCCCAAGCCCTTGCCTATACTTTGTAGTTTGTGGACTCGCAAAACTCGGTAGCTCAGATCCCAAGGAGATTTTGGAAGGGCTTGGGCCTGGGCCCAGGTTGGAGGTTGCGGCGGCGCCTTTCTGCCGTCAAGCGACTCGCACACTGGTGGCGAGAGCTTTTGGCTGTCCGGGCATCGGCAGTGCTGAGGCCTTCGGGCAACGGATGGCATCGGATCGGTGTCCAGGTTTGCCTGTTTGTAGCTTGAGAAGAGCTACAGGAGACGGGTTTCAGCGAGCAGCCTTTTCACGCCAGACTGGATGAAGTGCTGTGGCGTGGGTGATTGTTCATTGCATGGGCTTGCTGACTGTTGGACCGGCCTTCACCTTTGAACAGCTTGAAGCGACAGCAGCCTGAGCCGCGAATATGTGTGCTCCTCTATCCCTTGGTGCCCCGAGGTTGGAAGTTCATGACAGTGCTTTGGGTTGCGGGCCCTTCTTCGTGTTGTGAGTCTCGTTGCCCCAAGCAAGGGAAGATCTACTTTCGAGTCCAAATCCATGCAAATCCAGAATAGCCAACACCCAGCCGAAGTGAAACTCCGAGCGATCCGCTTTCAATTAAGACTCCCGGTAAACCTCGACAAACACGTCTGGAACCTGTCACATCTCTTTGAGTTTTCGCTGTGGATGTCGCTTCCAAGCTTCAGGCTCCAAGCTTGGCGGCGTGGCCAAATCGCCCGAACACGCGCCCGGCAGCTTCGCAGGATTCGAGAGGGCTCGGTATCGGAATAGGCGTAGGAGTATAGGCGCAGTAGCAGTCGTCGTCGTAGTAGTAGCCGTCGTGGTAGTAGGCGTAGTGAGTAGTAGTAGTAGTAGTAGTAGTAGTAGTAGTAGTAGTTGTTGTTGTTGTTGTTGGTGTTGTTGCTGT